TTTTAAAAGCTAAAAGTTAAGTAACAGTAACATTATAATATGTTAGCAAAACCTTACACAGTAGTAGATACTTCTCAAGGACACAACCACTGCACCCAGAACAATGGTTTCCCTGTCTTATCTTACTTCTTGCTGTAGCTGATTTTTCAGCACACAGACACAGATCCATGTTTTAACTCAGAAAATGCTTAATACAGTTAAAATGATTACTTGACACAAGCAAAGGCTTAGCTATCAATCTGCCTTGGGGTCAGCTGCATTGCTAGGCCCCAGGTCATGCCTTGTATTCAGCTGTAAAGCTAATACTTCTTAATAATCTCAATTATCGTAAACCTAACAGTATGCTTATCAGAAAACTATTCTATTTCAGGGTAATAACAAACCTGTGCACGACAGCCAGAGTAAATCTCCTGAGGTTTAGCAAGGACAAGTGCAAAGTCCTGCACTGAGGAGGGAGCGATCCGCGGGCTGGGGGCGACGGGCTGGGCAGCAGCTCTGCAAAAAAGGGCCTGGGGGGGACAGGGGACAAGAAGCTGGACAGGAGCCAGCAGTGTGCCCTTGTGCCAAGAAGATTACCGGCATCCTGGGCTGCATCGGCAGGAGCATTGCCAGCAGATCGATGGCAGTGATTCTTCCCCACTATTCGACACAGGGGAGGCCACATCTGGAGTCCTGTGTCCAGCTGTGGGCCCCACTACAGAAAGGATGTGGACACATTGGAGAGAGTCCAACGGAGGGCAATGAAAATGGTTGTGGGCTGGGGGACAGGACTGGTGAGGAGAGGCTGAGGGAAATGGGTTGATTTAGACTGCAGAAGAGAAGACCGAGGGGGATTTGATAGCAGCCTTCACCTCCCTGCCGGGGGGCTGCAAAGAGGATGGAGCTGGGCTGGTCTCAGTGGGGGCAGATGGCAGGACAAGGAGCAATGGGCTCCAGCTGCAGCAAGGCAAGTTGAGGTTGGATATTAGGAAGAACTTTCTCCGGAGGAGGGCGGTGAAGCACTGGAACAGGCTCCCCAGAGCAGTGGTGGAGTCTCCGTCCTTGGCGGGATTGAAGACCCAGGTAGACAAAGCCCTGGCTGGGATGATGTAGCTGGGGCTGGTCCTGCTTGGAGCAGGGGGTTGCACTAGATGTGACCCCTGAGGTCCCTCCCAACCCTCTCGTTGTCTGTGGTCCTATGATAATCCACAGGGTGAAGTTTGGAAAGAGGCTGAGGCTGGCTTGGCCAGCCGGCTCGCTGTGATAAGGGGATTGCGGCACTGTTGGGGGCAGGCACGGCGGCAGGGGTTCCCCCCTCCCCCAGTCCTGGCAGGAGCAAGCAGGGGAAAAAAGGTTGGGGTCCAAGTGGAAAGAGGCTGAAGCGAGGTGCGTGCGAAAAGGCAGAACACATTTTTTGGAAATCTCATTTTTCATTAATCTAATATAAGCAATAAAATCATCAGTAAAAATTTGCAAGATTAGCACCTGGCAACCGGAAAAATCCGTGCAGGAGAAATTAGATGAACTTCCATGGATTTCCGTGGATTTCCAAGTGAACCCAAGCGGCACCTGGCGGTGCAATAGCTGCACAGCAGGGAAAATCACATTTTCGGGCATAAATAAAACATGTTGGGGGCGTTTAAAATTACCACAAAGAAAAAATATTAAAATGATAAAATCAGCTGATAACGTGGGTACACCGACTTGATTTAGCTAGCTGAATGGTGATTTTTGTAAAGTGGTAACAGGAGAGGTGTAACGTGTGCAAGGGCCCTGTGATGCTGTTTTGCGAAGGACGCCCTGAGACTACCGGCCACAATGAGAAAGGTGTAGGGAGGCCTCATTTACAGAGCCCAGCAGGCACAGAGTTGCTTGATCCTGGCTTTACAGACCAGCCTGGGGGGGCTGAGAGATTTGGGCACCTCCAATATTGGGCTGCAGATCGGTGATGGTCTTTAGGATCTAGATTTCGCCTGGGGTGCCCAGGTCCTGCTTCAGTCCCACGTCAGGCATCTGAATCCTCCTGTGGGTCTGCGCCGTGGTTGCTGTATGCCTCCACTCAGCATCCGTAACCTGGAGGGGGGAAATAGTAATACCCTTCCACAGATACCAGGAGGACGCACAGGTGAAATCATAGAAATCCTAGAGCCGCGGTGCTGGAAGGGACCTGCAGGGCCACATCTAGTCCCAGCCCTGCCCGAGGCAGGATCAGCCCCGTCCAAACCAGCCCAGACAAACCCACCATCTAAACTTCATAAAACTACTGTCAACCCCACCACAGCGCAAGACATCACACCCGAACCTGCCCCAGGGAAAGCAGGGGGACCACGGCCACCAATGTCCTGTTTTTATAGAAGGTTTATGAAAGATGCTTGAGGGACCCCAGGCCCAGGCCGTGCCCCTGCTGCAGAAGAAGGGGAAACCCCCCAGTCTGCACCAGTCCGGGCAGGGGGGCAATCCCTCCCTGCCCCAGTGCAGCGCGGGGCTGAGCCTGAGCGCGGGGGCGAGACCCTCCAGCCGGGACCCCGCGGGGTCGGTGCAGCAGGAGCGTTGGCGCAACCCAGCCCCATCCCCATCCCCAGCCGGGGCTGCAGCAGCGCCAGCGCCAGCGCCTCGGGGGGAGGATTAGGAACAAAAACCCTGACACGTGGGGCAGAAAGGGAGAAAGTGGGGCAGGATTCTCTCCCACCCCATGTGGCAACCCGCAAACCCATAAGCCTGGGACATTCCCCTGGAACAAGATTGGCATCGCTACACCTGGATCATCCCCCACTCCCAGTGCCCATCCAGCCTCTCCTCGAGCCCTCCAGCCCTGGCATCTCTTCCACGGCCTCCCTGATCTGGCAGTGAAGAAGCGTTTCCTGGTCTCCAACCTAAACCTGCTTTGGTGCAACTTCCAGCCATTGCTCCGCGTCCTCCTCTCGGCAGCAGGAGGGAGCGGGCGCTTTCCCTCGTCTCTCTGGCAGCCCCTCAGGGACTTGCAGGCTGCTGCCACGGCCCCTCTTCCTTTTCCACCAGCTGAACCTGCCCAGCTCCAGCCTCTGGGCAGGAAACAAAACCGCTCGCCTCATTTGGAGGTGCAGAGACCGGAGCTGTACGCCCCAGGGATCTCGCTCGCCTGCCAGAATCTCCCACAATGCACTGCTTCTAGGCATCGGGGGGCCGTGGGAGACCCCCACCTGCACCCCAGCACGGCGCTCTGGTGAGCAGGCGCTCCCCCGGATCCCGACGCCCCCCCGTGTACTTGTGTACTTGCCCCCCAGAGCACTGGCCCCAGGACTGAGCCCTGGGGGACGCCACTGCCCCCCGTGCGCCACGTTGACTCGGTCCGGCCCGCGGGGAGCCACGTCCCCGCCGTCGGGCCGTGAGGGCGTCGAGGCCGCAGTCCCCGGTTTTGCCACGAGGACGTGGCGGGAGACCAAAGGGCTTTTCTTCAATGCAAGTAAACGACGTCGACCTCTCCCCCTGTCCAGGGGATGCACGACCTGCTCGGGCCTTGTGCACGTGCCAGTGTCACGTCTGGCACGCTTGCACCTTGCACTACAGCCCAGGCCTCTCTGGACCTGGCAGCCACCCCAAGCCCCTCTCTGGTGGGCGCTGCGCGAAGGTGCAGTAGGAAACAGGACCTCGGCCTGCAAGTGCATCAAACACCAGCCAGGCCCTGGGGGGAAAAGTCTGGGGGGGTGAGTGTGGGG